GGTCCTGTTCCTCATCCAGGGCCGCTCCATACATCTAATCGCCTATGGTGATTTCCTCTTGTGGGTCGTGAAGTCCGTGTCCAGCCAGTTTTCTAACTGTCTCATGGGTCTGTGGGCGATTTGGATGAGAACAGCTGTCAGTTAACGGTTATTTCTCCGACCTGTGTGGGTGTTTCTTCAGCTTTGTTTCCTGTGTCTTTGACAATCCTATGTGGTATGTACCAGTGCTTTCCCCCTTGGCCGCAGTGTGTGGATCCTGCTTAAGAACCCTTCCCTCATCCCAGCACGCAAAGGTGCCCTGCCAGGCGCCCTTCTAAATGTTTGACGATATCGCTTGCCCACGCCTGGCGTCCTCTGGAACGCACGCACGGCTGTGGAGCAGCCGGAGGAGAGCGACTGCCCGCTTTCTCCGGGTGGACAGCCTCGCGTCCCCCACCGTTGACTGTGTGGGCTGAGATTTCTCCAGCGTGGCGTCACGTGTCCTCAGGAATCTACCCGATTTCCGTGGGTGTGTTTCTGGGCCGCCGGTTCTGGTCCATGGGCTATTTCTTTTCCCTGCATCCACACCGCAGCACATTGAATGCCTTACTGTGGCATAAGCAGCCTCCATCCCTGCTGGGGAATCCCCCCACTGCCACCCCAATTCTTTTAAAGGATTAATCGATCTTTTATACTTTTCTATAAAATTTAAACTCAGCATATCAAGACCCATCCTGCGGGGATGGTCCTGCGTGGACTGAATGTACGTTACTTTGAGGCCCATACACATAGCCTGCCTGCTTACACGGAGAACTCATTGGTGTCCTTTATGAAAGTTTTATAATTTTCCCTACGAAGCTGTGCACACATCTTCTTATATTTATTCCCAGGTACCTTATCGTTTTTGCTGCTATTGTAAGTGGGATTGGTTTTTATTTTGTTTTTAGAAACAAGAGGCCCAGCGTGCATGAAATCGTGAGTGAGTAGCTCGCTTCCACTTGCCTCAGCTGGTCGCCCTGCCCATCGCTGCTCGTAGCTCTCTGCTGCTAGTAGCTCTCCGCCAGGAGTAGCTCTCCGCCAGGAGTAGCTCTCCACCAGGAGTAGCTCATGCCCTGCCCCGCCCACCATGAGAGCCGCTGCTCGTTTGGCTGTGTCACTGTTCCAGCATCACGACCACAGGCCTTTTATGATATAGGTTATTTTTTATTTTATTTTTATAAATTATTTTTTAATCCTCACCCCAGGATAGGTTCATTGATTTGAGAGAGAGAGAGAGAGAAACATCCATGTGAGAGAGAAACATCTATTAGTTGCCTCCTGTACACACCTTGACCAGGGACTGAACCCACAACCTAGGTATGTGTCCTGACTGGGAATCGAACCTGGAACCTGTTCGTTGCTCCAAGCATCTGAGCCTCTGGTCAGGCCATGGGATTAGTTTTGAAACTGCCTTTGGAATTAGTCTTTGATGTTTTATGTGAATACTGTTCATTTTAATGTGTATTTATTAAATATGGACTAAGCAATACATTTTTTTCTTAAAGGGTGACAATATATTGAGCCATCGCCCCGGTTAAGGAACAACCATGCGATTACTTTCCAAGCCCTCTGTATGCCCCGCCCCCCAGACCATCCTCTTCCTCCCCTCCTCAGGGCACAGCCTCTGCCCTGAGGATTGGGTGAAGCACGTTCTTGAACTTCTTCAAGGCTCCATCCCCTGTGGTTCTGTCCTCAAAACACCTCTTACGCTTGGCCTGGCTTTGCCTCTTTTCAGAAGTGGCATCGTTCGGATGTGCTGTGCTCCCGGTGTAGGTCCCTGAGGCTCCACCGTGTGAGCCACGCCTGACGCTGAAACATGTTAATCCGTCGGTCCTGGGGGGCTTCTGGCTCTTTCCAGTCATTGGCTGTTGTGAACATCCTTCGATGTAACTGCTGGGGCGCACGTGCAAGCACTTCTCTGGGGTCTATTCTAGGGTTAGAATGGCTGGGTCCTAGGGTAGAGTCATTTCAGATTTACTAGGTGACCCCAAACCTTTTCTGAGGTTTCCCACCACCAGCAGCGGCATGTCAGTTGCCACGCGTCCTCAGGAATACTCGATACTGTCAGATTTGAGACCATTGGGCATATTTATGGTATAAAAGGGTATTTAATTCACGCTTCCCTCTGGAGTCTGTAGATGGAGATAAGCCGCTCTCACCCACCCACTCTCCAATGTTGGCATAAGAACTGAAGTTAACCAAGGGGAAAAGAGACGGGAAAATATTTTACACGTTGCACAGCTCTCCGCATACGTAAGATGCTATCATCCCCGATAAATTAAGAGTGTTCTGGAGCATCGAGACGCAATGTCCGCGCACGCCCCTCCCGGTTAGAGCTGAGTGGTTTCCAGACTCCCAGTGCCTGGCCCTAGGCCGGAGCAGGGGGGGGGGGGGGCTCTGCTGGGACAGGGACTCAAGCGGCGCCCACCTTCCCAACAAGGAACATCTTCCGAGCCCAGGGCGAGGGCTGATGCGGAGCCCTGGGGTCCGGATGAAGTGACCGACAGGGCACTCGCCCAGAGCACGTTTCCTTGGCTTTGTGTGGCTGCCAGAACATTCTTGGAAAATAAGTCAAGCTGCATTTTAGGAACTCGATTGCAAATGCTTTAGAAATGCGTGTCCAATGTCCAAAGAATTCCCAGGACACCTTCCGGGTGAAGGAATGCAAGCCTGGGTTATGACTGCTGACGCGGCCGTTTTCGGCTAGATTCTTCTATTTTTTTTCCTTCTCCTCCTGCAACATTTAATGGATTTCAGGCCACTTCCTCACTCCATCCTGTGAGTGCTTGATCTGACGACTCTCTGTAGACCGGAACGTTCCGCAAACGCAGAAGGCGGTTTCGCATCGTTGGCCCTTTCCCGAATCCAGAAGCTTCTACGAGGAGGCTTCCTGCCTAATGATCCTCCGCTGGTGAAACCGCCCCTGGGCGAGAAGGTGCCGGCTGGTTTTGGCAGCCAGGGCTCCGAGACAGCCGGTGATGACGAAGCTTTTAGATGTGGGGGGTGGGGGGAGGGTGGTGTGGGGGGAAGGTTGGGTTTTGTCCAGGTCTCTGCTGCTGGCTGCAGCCCAGACAGGCATGTTTTATGGTCAGCGCACTGGGAGAACAGACACCCCAAGATGTAGGTCCGTGTGTGTGTGTGTGTGTGTGTGTGTGTGTGTGTGTGTAAGTGTGTGAGTTACAAAGGTTTGAAGTTGGCCAAACCAGCAAGAATCAGCAGTTCCTGGAAACAGGAGACAGGCCTCTGAGGCTATGAGTGTGTGCAAATCTTGTGCATTTTTTAAATCCTCCCTCAAGGGTATTTTTTTCCATTGATTTATTTTAGGGAGAGTAGAGGGGAGAGAGGAGGGGGCGGGAGAGAGAAACATTAATGTGAGAAAGACACACCAATGGGTTGCCTCCTGTTTGCACCCTGACCGGGGCCAGGGATTGAGCCTGCAACAGAGGTATGTGCGTGCCCTTGACCGGGAATCAAACCTGTAACCCTTGTATCCAAGGGCCGATGCCAGTGGTCGGCAAACTCCTTAGTCAACAGAGCCAAATATCAACAGTACAACGATTGAAATTTCTTTTGAGAGCCAAATTTTTTAAACTTAAACTATATAGGTAGGTACATTGTTATTAACTTAATTAGGGTACTCCTAAGGCTTAGGAAGAGCCACACTCAAGGGGCCAAAGAGCCACATGTGGCTCGCAAGCCGCAGTTTGCTGACCACAGCTCTAACCAATGAGCAAACCGGCCAGGGCTAGTGTGCATTTTAGGAAGAAAGAATGGGCACAGACCGCCTGGAATCGCAAGCCCTCACCTGTTGCCTTCCCTTGGTCTCCCAGCGAGCAGTGTCCAGTGTCCGGTGCCCATGAACATCACAGTGTAGTGAGTGAGCCTCCGGCACGGTGCTGGGTGCAGGCAGGCGTGGTCCCTCCTCCCTGGGCTCCCAAACCAGTGGCCTGTGCTCCCGCGCTGTGTGTCGGAGGGTGCGTGACAGAGACCGGCGGCGGTGGCGGCGAATGAGGGGTTGGAGACTGTAGGGTAAACGGGAACACGGCCCCTCCCCGGCCCCAGCCCCCCTCCCCGCTGTGGGCAATGTGAAGGCCCTCTGTAAGCCGACTGAGACTGTGGGAGCCTGGCCAGCCCCTCGGTCTAAGACGTGGAAACTGCTTCTGGGCGTGAGCCGGACAGTGCACAGCTCGCATTCTGATCGCACAGCTCGCGCACACCCGCCCCCATACACACCGGCTTTTCTCCGTTTCCTGCGCTCTGTAAAACCTTGTGCTGGGGACATTGGCGCGGGGGGGGGGGGGGGGGGGGGGGGGGGCACAACAGCAGCACCGGCCGGCTGCCCCCGGGGCATCTGCAGGCTAATGGGACTTAGTGGGGCGGCTTCACCGGTGGCAGCGGACGGACACGGACGCGGCGGTAAATGTCACCAGCCGGCTACCACGGGTGAAATCCTGGCACACCCACGTCGTTCACAGCCATCCCCCCGGTAATTTCTCTGGGGTCCACAAGCACCGGCGGAGGGTGTCTGGGCCTCAGCCCTGTGCCGAACACCGACCCGGGAGAAGTCCCCGTTCATCCCGAGTGGAGCTGCAGGAAGTGCCCAGCGGGCGAGGCCTTGCTCTGTGGGGACGGGGCGGGAGGGGCGGCAGTGGGAGCGCGTGGGGTGCCTGGTCCCGCAGCCTGGGAGCCGGTACCGGGACGCCGTGGGCTCGTGCTTCTGAACCGAAAATAAAACCCCGATGAAGCCTCCGTCTGAGGAGCCAGAGGCTTCTGCGATCGAGGAGGAGCAGCGTGGCCCTGTGTGCAGAGGGAGTGAAAGAAGCAGGAACCCCCACGTCCCAGGTGACGATTCTCAGCAGCCCAGCCCCCACACGGAGCTGTTCTTGGGGGTTTCAGGTCTTCATGAAACAAGCCGCCCCGGCAGGGCCCAGCGGGGGCCCCGGGAAGACCATGGGCTTTGCGGCCCTGACTTCCACCCACTCACTGGCTGGGGACCTTTGGCAAGTTACTTCATGGACATGAGCCTCCGGCCCCTACGCTGCCGTCCTGGGCATGTTAGGAGGACTCCGTGGACCGATGTTTGCAATCGGGACCAGGCACCACCCCGCCCATGGGTCCCCAACCCAGCCGGAGCACCTCCCGACGCCTTGAGGACAGTCACACAGGCGGATGACTGTCCCAGGAGCATGGGCGAGTGGGAAAGGGGGGGAAGGGCGTCTGGCTGAGAGCAGCGGCTCTCGGAGACCGGGAGACAGGCACTGAGGCCACTGACGCGCGTCTCGCTGGAGGGATTGTCTTTATTTGCGTGTGGTCGCCTTTCAATGAGGAGTGGCTCCCGTCGCGCCCGGTAACTGCGGGCCTCGCTAGCACACATGCAGGCAGCAACGCTTCCTCACAATGCAAGCAGCTCGGGGGAGCTCATGGCAGGAGCAGGTGTGAAACAGGAGTTTGGTTAAATGCAAGCAGGTTCCCGTGGAGAAAGAGAAACGCGGTACCGCCACCCCCTCCAAGGAGAACCGCGAGCACGCGTGTTATTTCGCTTGTTCTCACACGGCTGTTCCCAGGAGAAGCTGGCTCGCACCTTCCAAGTGCACCTGCGCTGTGCGCCTGAGTGCCTGCCAGCCCAGCGGGTGCGGGGAGCAGGGGTCTAACGGGCTCGAGGGAGTTCCAGGGTCGGCACCAGCCTGCTTTCCCACGCTGGAGAGGCGTGTGACAGCGTGGGATGCGACAGCGAACGGGAGCCCTGAGGGGAAGGACTCAGCCCAGTGCCCGGGCGGCTGACCGCCTTCAGCCCCGCTCTCTCTCTGGGCTGAGCCGCCTCAGCCTTGCGGGTCGGGCGGGACCGTGGTGGCTGGGATGGGGTAGTCCAAGGCGCTGCAGTCATCGGACAGGAACACCAGGTCCTGAAAGAGACGCACCAGCAGGACTGTCACTGCGGGCGGCTGCCAGGCCCGGGCATGAACACAGACCCCTGGTTGCCCTCCAAGACTGTTCAGTAGCCCGGCCGGCGTGGCTCAGTGGTTGAGCATCAACCTATGAACCAGGAGGTCACGGTTTGATTCCCGGTCAGGGCACAGGCCCGGGCTGTGGGCTGGATCCCCAGTGGGGGGCGTGCAGGAGGCAGCTGAGCAATGATTCTCTCTCATCATTGATGTTTCTCTCTCTCCCTCTCCCTTCCTCTCTGAAATCAATGAATATATATATATATATATATATATATATATATATATATATATGTATGTATATATATATATATTTTTAAAAAGACTGTTCAGTTGTTCCCTTTGGCTGAAAACTTCCCGTCTTACCCTCCCAGGGAGAGCCAGTTATGTCTTCACGTTCCCATAGAATCTCAGATGTTCTTAATGATTTGTGGAATCCATGCATGCACAGGTTGACCAGATGGACAGATGGGGAGGAAGTGCATGATGGATGAACCTTAAGTGCAGAGCAGCAGCTGCGGGGACGCCACGGAAACCAGCCAGAGCTCACCTTCAAGTGCCATCGAGGCAGTAACACCACTACTCACTGTGCTATTTATGCCTAACTCCTGCCGTCCCCCTCCGCCCCCCCCCCCACACACACACAGGGGACTGAGGGGGGAAATGGGTATGGGCAGGAAATGCATAAACTATAACTTAACTGCTAATTATTAGCTTCCTGGGAGCTTGCTCCGGGCCAGCCTGTGGCTGAGAATTCCACGTTTAGGCCCCTCCCGGTTCTTAGGCCCAGGGAGTTGCCACGGCACCGGCACACAGTCAGGGTGCGGTTAGTGTCCTCCTCCGTGGTCCTCGGACAGTCGCTGTCCTGTCCCCAGGGCACTAATAGGAAACTGGGCTTGGAGAGGTGAGGGGTACGCCCATCCGGGAAGCAGGGGGTGCAGACAGGAGCTCAGGGCTGTCTGGGCCAAAGCCTCTGCCCCTCGGACCACACGAAGGCCATGCTTTCTGCATCTCAGCGGGGCCAGTCCCTGCCTCTTCTGCCTCCTCCCTCTTCTCCCTGTCACAGCGCACGCCTCTGACCCCAGGAGGGGGCTCCAGGATTTGGGGACTCCACAGCCCTCTCCCCACCTGCCCCGTTCAGCTCCCAGCCGAGTGTGTCTTACAGGGTTAGTGCCGGGTCCTGGGTGCTGTCCCCACATCCACGTGGGGCTCCTGGAGGCCGGGGGCTTGTCCTGGTCCCCATCACTTACCAAGGGCAACGATGGTTGTGGGAGGGCTTTGTGAACAGGAAGCACTCCGTAAACTTTACCTCCTCCTGGTCCCCTCCCCTCCCAGCCCTCCTCTTCTTTTTTTTTTTTTAAATATATTTTTATGATTTTAAAGAGGAAGGGAGAGGGAGAGAGAGATAGAATCATCAATGATGAGAGAGAATAATTAATTGTCTGCCTCCTGCACATCCCCCACTGGGGATTGAGCCCACAACCCGGGTATGTGTCCTGATTAGGAATCGAACCCAGGACCCTTCAGTCCATAGGCCGGCGCTCTATCCACTGAGCCACACCGGCCAGGGCCCACCCTCCTCCTCTAGACGTCTCCGCTGACAACACTAGACCAAGAGCTTCTGTGACGTCACTCACCCTCCTGCAGAAGGAGTTCATGATGGTGTAGAGTTTCCGCACTTTATCCTTCAGGGCGTCCACTGGGGCCACTCGCCAGCAGTGGGGCGAGGCCACGAAGTCCCGCAGCTTGGCCAGCACGCAGTAGTTCTGGGAGTGGACGACAGGGGGCGTCTTGTGGGAGAAGCCAGGAGCCAGAGGGACCTTCTTCTCTGATCTAACCCCACCCCGCCCCCCCGCCTCCCCCGGCAGGGGCACCCCTCTTACGTGGATGTCCAGGTACAGCCGGGGCAGGTACATCACACACAGCTCCTGCAGGAAGGGAGACGCGTCGCTGTGATGTCCACGGGACACACCCTCAGCCCGGTCACCGCAGGCTCCCTGCCAGCCCTCCCGCGCCAGCCCAGCCCAGGTCCCGGCGGCCTTGATGCCGACACACAGGACTGCCTTGTCCTGTGGCCACTTTCCTCCAGACCCAACCTCAGAGGGCAGGCTCCACACCATGAACTAGGAGTTAGGGAACTGCATACGTGTGTGTGTGTGTGTAGCCACACCCACAAGTACACATACATACATGCCTATGTTTAAAGTTCTATAACTGTAATCCAGATATTGCAATATATACAAGACACTGTTGGAATTTGCCTATGTATGCATACTCGGTATCACTGTCTTTTACTTTAAACCCAGATTCCGGTCCAGCTCTACCAGTGCGGGGTTTATGGGACCAGAACCCCTTTGAAATTCCCTGTGTGACCGTGGGCAGATCTCCTTCTCCTAGGTGACTCAGTTTCCCAGTTGTGAAATTAGAGAGTTAGAACATGTAACCTCTCCACTTCCGTCCATCGCTTCAGTTCTGAGCCTCTACATTTTTTATGTTTTAAAATCAGATTCAATAAAGGTGTTCATTCTATATATATACTAATAATACCAAGGGATCTGTGGATAAATTGTGGAGCAAGTACACAACAGTCCATTGTTACAAAAGAACGTTAATATATGTGATGGTGTCACTTAAAAGTAAATTGCAAGACTGCTGGGCTGTTTGACCCAATATGCTCACACACATACACATGCATGCACGCACACATGCACATACATGTGCACACACACAGATGCATGCACGCACTCGCACATGCACACCCACACACGCATGCATGCACTTACACACACACACTTGCACACTTATGGGCGCACACACACGCTTACACAAGCACTTGAACACCCCTGCGTAGGCCGAAAGCAGAAATACCCTCCAGGATGTTATGGCGGCAGCTACCTCCAGGGGGAGGAATTGCCAGTAATATTTTTTCTCTTTGTCTTTTCTGCATTTTCCCACCGTTCTACAAGGTATATGACTTTCATAATTAGGAAAAAGTAAACATTACTTAACTTTTTAAAAAGAAAATGCAAAGAAGGTGCTAGGGTACCATAAACCCCACGTCCGAGGAACATCACCCTGCATTGGAAGTGTTTACAAGTGACAAAGGGGCACTTCAATGTTACCAAAGCTTTTCATGGAGTTTACCCCTCATCTCGCCCTGCGCTGCAGTCAGGAGCCCGGGCCCGGCCCTGGCAGCCCCTCGGCCTGACCTGAGCGGGGCCTCCTCTTAGAAGAGAGTGATAACAGCGGCCGCCACTCCGGGCCCCATGCCGGCCCTGCTCTGCCTGCTGCACTGAGTCACTCCCCGAACCCTCACAGCTGCCGGGAGGGGGCGGGTGCCCAGCCGTCCCCTCTCCCAGAGCAGGACACTGATGAGGGGCTGAGTGACTCCCCAGGCCCCGCGGCAGGTAGGGGAGGGGCGCAGTTCTGGGAGTCGCCCCCTAACACACTGGCCGGGGAAGGGAATGAATCAGCCACATTCCCTGCTCCCCCTTTTACTCCGAGTTCTAGACTTACTGGGAGGTTTTTCCTTCCTTTTTCACATTTCGCAATGGGTCCGCTGACAGTTGCTAGCAAGCTACAAGCAGCAATTGTGAAGTCTTTGGTTACTTTTTTCTTTGTACTTAAAGCACAAACCGTTGGTATCATATTTAAAAGGATGGGAATAAAACACAAATATCCTTAAGATGAACAATGACCAGAAAAGAAAAACAGCACTTTTTTTCATTCAAAAGCAAACTTCGGGGACCTGGGTCTGCACGGACCCCCTGGCCCATGCCAGACGGGGGACTCACCGAGGGCTCCGCGGCCTGCAGCCTCTGGAAGTCCCGGCTGATCTCCCGGCTCAGGCCCAGCATCCGGGAGTAGCAGGTCGGGGGCGCAGGCCGCACAGCCGGGGGCCCCGCCAGGAGCAGCAGCAGCAGCGGGAGCAGCCAGGGCCTCATGGTGCAAAGGGCCTCCTGCAGCCCCAGGCCGTACCCCTTTAAGCGGCTGCAGGGGGGTGGTCCTCCACGCCTCCATTTCCTGTGGGGCCCGCCAAGGCCACGGGCACGCCCACCTGGCTGGGGACACTGGATCCTTTCAGACCTGCAGGCCCCCCTTTGGGAGAGGAGGGGCAGCCTGGGGGTGCAGGATGCCTGGAAGGGAAGCGCCCTTCACAAACTTCCAGTAGAAGCTGCTCCTCGGTGGCTTTGCCTGAAATGGCAGGACGGGCAGATGGGGGGAGGGGGGAACAGAGGAAGGCAAAGGTGGGTGAGGGGAGGCTCATCAGAGCCAGAGGTGGGCAGCCTCAGACTGGGGCTGGTTAGAGAGCTGGCTGATTTCGGGAACAGAGCTGAGGAGGGAAAGGGCCAGAGTGATGGACTGAGCACCAGAGATCTGGGGCTCGGGGTCGGGCAGCTGGGGGCCAATGCCCACCCACACTGACCAGCCAGGGCACTCGGGGCAGTCACCTGGTCACCTGCCCTGTGAGCAGCTGTGTCTGTGCACCTGGTGCTGATGCCTGTGTGTGTGTGTGTATGTGGTGGGGGGCGGGGGTGAGCATCCCCAGCTAGCTCAGTTCATGCTGCGGGCCCAGGCCCCGCACAGAGCAGACCCCCAGGGGTCACAGGTGCTCTGCTGGCCGCTCTCCCTCGACGGGTACCAGTGAAGGGAATGAGCTGTCTCCTTAGATGCTCACCTCCGGCGATGACTTTGGGCAAGGTCCTTAGCTCTGTCTGCCCTCTCCTTATAGGTGAGATGGGCATATGTGAGCACTCGGCCCAGAGGTCACGGTGAGGAGTGAGAGACGCTGAGCTGACATCGCTGAGCCAATGTCACTGTCTCCGTTCCTGAAAGTATCCCTGAGCCGTAGGGGCCAGAGAACAGCCCCATATTCCAGGGGTGGGAGGCGGAAACTGAGGCTCAGACAGGTCCAGCGATGTGCCCAACGCCAATGGGTCCAACTGGACTCTGGGCCTTCTCTTCCATCCCTGCCCCCCACCCCAGTGTGGGACCGGGAGCAGCAGGATTTGCTGTGGAGATGAGTTTGGGCCCCTGGGCTGCCCAAGACCAGGGAGCGGCCTGGAGAAGGAGAGAAAGGTTCTGACTTAACGCCGCACATCACTCACGTCCCACGGCTGCAGCAACTACGCAGCTGCCGCCCGAGCCGCACAGAAAACCATCGAAGTGGGAGGGGTGGGGGGGTTCACTCCCATTTCCCAGAGGAGGAAACGGAGGGTCAGGGGATGTGAAACTGCTGAGATCACAGGCTACGGAGGAGGACAAAGCTCCGGCCCTGTGTCTGTCTATCTCCAAGGCCCCTCTCCCTGCACGCGAGGGCGGACAGGGGCCGGGCAAGCCGCCCACCCAGAACAAACCCACCGAGGATGAGGCCCAGGGGGTGAGGGAAAGGAGCGCGGTGTCCGGACGTGAGGCGGCGGGACCCGCCACGGCAGCGAAGCCCTGGCTGTGGCCTCTCCCTGCTGTTTGCCTGGTGGGACCCGTTCCCTGTCCGTCCACAGCAGCGTCACCCTGGGCAACGCCAGAGGTCCCGAGGTTCTGCTGATCCGGTTTCCTGCTGGCAAAGCCTCGGGCCGGGAGCCCAGCCATGCCTTTCTGTGCCAGTGGGCGCGTTCTCTAAACACCTTCAGCCAGCGACCTGAGGACCGGCTCCTGGCACCCTCTCAGACGGGCAGAACCGGAGGGACAAGCAGCAAGCACAGATGTGCTTCTGATGAAGGAGTCTCCTCGCTCCCTCCGTCCCGGGCGGAGCCTGGTGCACGGGCCTCCCTGGCGGACAAGCCAGCCCAGCCAGGGCCCCAGGCCCCTTTGGAAGGCCCAGGGCTTCTGCATGTGCCCATCCAATGAGCATCCCACTTGGGACCAGGAAGGAAAACAAGCCCAGGACCATGCAGACCCAGGCCGGGCCCGAGCTGGGAGTTGGGACCCACCTTCGGCGCCTTTGACGTTGAGATAACGTGTCTCCGAGAGACCCGACCCCGTTCCACTCGGGACAGTGTGTGTGGCTGTCCTCGGGCTCCTGGGTAGACCAGAAGGCCCCCTGCATCCTGAGCCCCGGACATGGAGCTCAAGGGTCCATCTGCCTCCCTCACCTACCTGGTGCTTTCCATCCTGGCTCGGCAGCACCCAGCACCCAGCACTCAGCACCCAGCGTGCAGAGCAGACGCTCAGGAAGGCTTTGCTGACTTAGCCTGATGGTTGTCAATCTTGTTCCTCAGAGCGAGGCCCAGCCCATTAAAAACCCACAGAGCACAGGCCGAACCGCCCCACTGGCCGCCCAGACCCGCCCGGGGCACAGGTGGGCTCAGGGGACCACATGTGCGCTCTGCTCACACAGGTGTCCTTTGCCGGTCGCCCCTGCTGCCCCTCAGCCCCCAGCCTGGCCCTTCCTCCGCCTCTTCAGCATCAGGCTGCTCTGCCTGGAATGTGACTGTTAAAAGCCCAGGCAGGAATCTCCCACGGGCGAAAGCTTTGTCTTCTCCCCAAGGTTCCTCCCATCCCCTCAGGTCTGAGCCGGAGCCCGGGCCCCTCGAGGGAGGAGCCTGTGACCCTCATTATGTCCGACAGCCCACAGCCAGAGCTGAGGACCCAGCAGGTGAGCATTTCTCAGCCAGACAGCGGTTGCTTTGGATGGATTCTCCATTCGTTGGCTGGACACATGCTTACGTTTTGAGAGTCTCCTGAGATGGACCCTGGGGATAAGCTGTAAATGGAGGAGATGGGGTACCGTCCCCACACAGGAGAGTAAAGGGGCAACTGGCTCCAGAAACGCCGGGGTAGGTGGTGCTCCTGGCGATGGCTCACCTGCTTGGGGGGGGGGGGGAAGGGGGGGTAAGCACGGAAGTGTGTGTGGGGGGTGTGGGTGAGGGGGTGAATTTGGAAGGGGCTTTGCTGCTGGAGGAAGAGGCCACAAGTCACAGGATGCAGGCACCTCTGGGAGCTGGACAAGACGAGGAAAAGAATTTTGCCTGGAGCTTCAGAAGGAACCAGTCCTGTCCCACCTCGACTTTATTTTATTTTTAAAATATATTTTTATTGGTTTCAGATAGAGGAAGGGAGAGGGAGAGAGGGGGAGAAGCATCAGTGATGAGAGAGAATCATTGATTGGCTGCCTTCTGCACACCCCACACTAGGAATCCAGCCTGCAACCGGGCATGTGCCCTGACCGGGAATCGAACTGTGACCTCCTGGTTCATATAGGTCGATGCTCAACCACTGAACCACACTGGCCAGGCCCACCTTGATTTTAGCCCATGGCGGACACCTGGCCTCCAGGACAGTGGGAGAATAAGCCTGTGCTTGAAGCCACCCGTTTCTGGTGAAGCATCGCAGCAGCCACAGGGGCTCAGGCCCTGTCCCCCGGGTTCAGTGGAGTAACAGAGATCAGGTTGCGAGGAACTTGGAAACAATCTGCACTGATCTGCCTGGTGCTGTGCTGCCTCCCCGCCTCCCCACCTCCCCACCAAGCGCTCACCCAGAATCTGCGTGCTACGTCCCTGGACGGGGAGCTCACGGCCCCCAAGGCCGCCCCCTGACCCGTCTCTGTGCAGCTCCAATGAACACAAGCTCTTCCCAAGGTGAAGGTGACTCCCTGCTGCTGCCTCACCCTCCTGTGCCTTCTTCCACAGAGCAGGCTCCACGACCACGGTCATTCCTCATTCTGTCACCACCAGTCGCCCTGGCCCCCGGCCCCCGGAGACACAGACCTGCCCTCTTTCAGAGCAAACGTCCCCTGTCCTGAAACTTTCTCCAGGGGAAGTGGCTCAAGGCCTTCTCCACAATCGCGTCACATTTAACGGTTCTCTGCCCAGAGCCCCCGTCTCCTCCCAGGGCCAGTTCTAAAGCAGAAACCCCCCTTGCGGCTGGGGCAAACCCAAGGCCTGGGGGAGCCAGGTGTGTAGCTGGGCCCAGCCCGGCTCTCAGCCATGTTGAGCCGCCGCTGCCTGCACTCCTACTGGGGTGATGCTGATGGTGATGATGGTGATGGTGATGATGACGATGATGATAGCTAAGCCCTGAGCCTTGCTCCGAGCCTGAATGAGAATTAATGCGTTAATTCTGTCGTCATCATTTCAGGGCGCGGAGGCACCGAGGCTGAGGGACTTGCTCCAGCCGCACGGCATTAGCCATCGGAAGGGTCTGTAGTTACCACCCAAGTGGCCTTTGATTTTCACACGGGCTTCTCTGGTTGAACCTGAACCGACACACATGTCATCAGCTCCGTCTTAAAGCAGGGTCCCTGTGTGGTCATGACGAATCCAGCCCAGGGCACATGCCCTCTCGCCCAGAGAGGTAGCCTCGCCCGACGGCGGGAGACAGCCCCGAGCTCCGAGCTGGGCCGACCCTGCCATGTCTGTCTCGTGGTGCAGTGAGTGCTTTCATTGCCAGGGCCTCCTTTCTAGCGTTTCTAGACAAAGAGCGTTTCACCTCTTCCTTCCAGCTGTTCAGACTGGCTTATTCCACAAGCGGTGCAGGTAGCCAGGGAAACAAAGACTCTTTGTCCCGGCCCCGAGGGGTGATGGAAAGTTCCCGAGAGACCACAAGCAATAGGCACTCGCTGTTTTCTCGGTCCCCGGTTCCTTGGCCCAAACGTTGAACCACACCTTCCCCGAGGGTTCCCTGTGTTCCTGTCCTGTGTGTGCCGTGATGGCAGCCAAGGTCGCCACGGCCCAGGCCAGTGTCCGGCCTCCTCCGCTGCCCAACGCCCAGCCATCGCCGTCTTTGCCAGCGACCGGAGGAGCCCAGCGGCCGCGTCCGTCCTCGGAAAACATCGCACTAGACACGCGCCGAGTCTGAGATGCTGGCACCAGGGCTGGTATTGGAGGCCACCGCTGGGTCTGTCCACTCCTGCTGCCTTCTGAGGTCAGCACCCAGCGGTCAGGGTCACCTGTGCTGTCCGGCCCGGCACGCCCAGCCAGCAGCTCTCAGGGGAGCAGGCTGAGCGATTGGCCGTATTGCCGCCTCCGGTCTTCCTGGCGACATCGATGTTCC